GCATGAGACAACCTGAGTGAGACTTGAAATAATTAGGAAATGAGTGAAATTCACTGGTTTCCTCTGTCATGTGGGTTGTTTCCATCCATGAATGCTTACCCCATTCTTACTCTGGACACTTTTGTCCCTGATCTCCATGATGACAAAGATAACTCAGAACGAAACCAGATTTCAATCCAAGTTTCTCCAGGTACATCATTAACTTGGGCAAGCCAAAGGGGAATTCTTCATTCAGTACAAGAAAACTGACTTCACTAGTCGACATCAACATGACACAAGCTCAAGATCTAAGTGAGAAACAGAAGGAATGATGAGCTCTAAATGAGCCCTCCCTCTGCAGCGACACCTGTGATGTAAAAGGCCACCCTCACTGACAGAGACCAAGGGCCACAGAGCAGCAGACCACCAGGCGCATGTGCCTTAACGCAATCCGGAGACTAACAGGACTTGCAGGACCTACAACCAAGCAGAAGTCATCCTCCTCTCTAGGCACACACACGTCCAGAGTTATTGTGGTAGCGTTAAGAACTCTGCTTAGCTTCTCATTTAATGTTCTCACCTTACAAGCACCCTAAATCACTTTCACAAAGGTCATACACAGAGAATGCTACTACCTATGTATAAAGCCTGAACACTCTTCTGCTGCAAGTGAGCCAGAAATATAGCAGGTCACAACCCCTTCATTTTCAAGTCTAATTACCCAGCTCCATAGGGGGAGGGAGAGGCAGAGCCCCAGAAAGAGACACAACTCCTTCTTCCTGGTGTCTTTAGATACTAGAGATCTTTCCCATCCCACCTGCAACTGGGGTAGGCCTGGATATGGCTAAATACACAAATACAGAGGGCACAATAGTTAGGATAAATTCTGAAGCCTGACAGATCTGGAATATTTATTCCACTTCTTACCAACCTATTGCTGCTCAGTCAAGTAAGCCTGTCTTTGTCAATGAAAAGGCAACGCCAAGGATAAGTTAAGATTAAATGAGAAGTCCTCAGGCAGGGTGCTGGCACAGTTAACACCAAAAGGACAGCAGGAATGGTGTCTGGTCTAAGAGCTAACTCCTAATGGGAGTCAGTTTTGAAGCACACCTACATCCTACCCTCCCTAGTCATTGGGGACCTGTAGTCCTTAGCTCCTTCCCAAGGTTCTCTGGCCCCACTTAGCAGACCTCTCACCCCTTGTTAAGCACAGAACACATCTTTGCGAGGTTTGTTAAATAAAGAAGCTGTTAAGGCAAGACTCCTGCTCTAATGTAGCCCAGGTCTACTGCAAGGAAGAGCTATGGAAACAAACGGAGCTGGGAGAACAGATGTTCTCTTCAGAGAAAGCTTTTGAGAGCAGTGCAGCGGTTTCATCACAGAAGAGAGATTTGTTTCATCTTAAAGGATGAATAGGCAGAGGGGAAAGCTTGTGTAAGGGCACAGATGTACTCAGATTAAAGGTATAGTTAAGCTCCCAACCCAGGGTGGAGACCCGATCCTAGGAATCTTGCATTGCCATGCTGAGTTCTTACTTCCCCTTACAGGCTACAGGGAAGCAAACATGTTTCATATGTTGGTGAAGTGATAAGATCAAAAAGATCTTGTCAGTGATCAAAAGATCTCCAGTGGTTTCAGGAATGAGAATGGTGAATGGGTCAATCAGGACTGAGAAGCAAGAGCAGGAAAATTATTATTCCACAAGCCAAGGACTCGCCTCCTCTTCCAAATCATTCTCTGCACTGTGAAATGTTCCTTTCTACCCCCAGAACAGGGTATACATGCCACATTCATGACATTAAAACAAGCCACCCAAGTATGTGCTGGCTCAACAAAAAAGGGAGGGAGCACCATACACACGTTCACACAGACTACCCAGGACCTGTGGTACAGATGTCTGCCGAGCGGGTAGGAGACAAAGACACACATTTGCTGCTAACAGGACTGGAAGGATGAGTCCACCTTGGCACTCTGTATGAGACAAACGCCAATGGAACACCCAGGTGACCACATACTCCCTCCGGGGACAACAGGGGACACACGTCTGGCAGTCAGGAAAGGTTCTAAACTAGAAGCAGAGATTCTGGAAAGTGGTGGTAGCTAAGGCTAGAACCCTGGAAAACATAAAGTCAGTTAAAGAACCTGGAGAAAAATCAGAGATGCCAATGAAGCATAGGGGGAGAAACAAGAAAACGAAAACACTCTGGAAAAGAAAGGATGCCTAACACAAGGATAAGCAAAGCCCAGAATGCTCCAGACCATCTGAAATAGTCTGTTTATATAAAATCAAGAATCGTGATTAATTCGACTCAAGTAAATTTTCAAAAATGTTCTTATTTTAAGACAAAGATAAAAGAACAAAAACCAATTCTGCACATCCTTACATATTTGATCCAGGTGACCAGATACAATGGCACACAGCAAATGAGCAACATTATGTTGCATACAAAAGCCAAGTAAAAGCACTGGATCATATACTTTAAGCCTCAATAACCATTAGTTGATAGTTTTGACTAAAACTGAGTTCTTAATCCAAGGCTGATGAAGGCACTGACAATGGGTCTCATTCCTTGTCACAATCTCACTATAAGAAATAGTCTACCAGTATCTGCCATTTTCCTTCAAATAAAGGGTACAATGGGAGCATCTGGTACAAGTGAGTATTTAGGGGTAGGTAAAGAAAAAAACTATGGGGAATTATTGTCCTTATAAAGGAATAAGACATGGGAGATAATGCGAAATATGACCTCCTACACACTTTTTGCTTAAAAAAACCTAATATACCAAGTCTTTTCCTATCTCCATACCCCTGAATTTTATAAATTTAGACTCTCCAATGTAGAATAATTCAACTTCACTTTTTTTAGTAGATTGTGTATCTGGCTAAGCAAGTTATATGCAAAATTCAAGACTGACAATTATCTACCCTAATTAAGATGTTTCCAAATATATTTTCCATCTGAACAATTTTCACTTCAATTACAGACTCTTCAGTAAGGCAGATCGCAAGGACACCTGTTATACTGTCAGTCACTGAACTGCATCATGACTTAGATAACAATGAGCTATCACTAGAAATCATTCCAATTACTTTAAATGCTCAAATCAGACTAGCATCTTCCCCTCAAAACACTGATAATCTCTATTAAAAAAAACCACTAGAGTACAAAACTCAGCATAATTTATGTTGCTGTATGTTCTTTCAAGGGGTCCTAGTACTTCACCACACTTAGTACACATCTGGTGTAAGAACCCTAGAATAAAAGTACATCGAGTCTCTATATATTCCGGGATCAGCACTACTATAAGTTTATTGAAGGGAAAGATGACTTTTCTAAGACGGCTTTACAATTAAAGTTTTTAAAACAATAAAATCAAAATTATAAATAGCCCCTTCCTAAAACTACTGAAATTTAAATCACAGGCAAAACAAATTTTTTAGAAAAATTGGAATTGGAAAATAATAGTATGGGGGGGACAGGGGAAGGACCAGCAGGCAGACCTAGCTTGCCCTTTTTGTATTATATACAACTGCATTAAGATTCTCTAACAAGAGTGGCTTTTATGTTTCTTAGAACTATCTTCTAAAGTACGATATAGCATAAATAATACAGAAAGACAACACTAGCGAGAAGCATGGAGTGACTCATAAATCCACCTGATCAAGAAAATCGTAATGATGAAAGGAGACAGCTACATTAAACACTACCATGCACTAAAATTAATCTGACAAACTATGTACACTTCTAGCAATTGTTTTCCCAAACTTAATGGTAAAAGATGTGAAACTCTGTAATTCGACAGGAACTGTTCAACCTCTTCTCTTCCTTTGTCTGAGTTTCAAAGGTTCTGATGGAATAACTACTCCACTGTATTGAACAGCAAGCAGTCTTCAGAACTGCATCCATACCATCATGGACTTTCTTGCAGTAAATATGTTTTTAACTTGTCATAAACTCACAATCAGGAGGAAGGAAAACTTTTCCCAACCTCATGCTCTGATAAATAACAAGTTTTGCTAAAGAGATCAAGAATCTCCGTAAGCATTAACGCTTCAATGATACAGAAGTCTTTTAACACAGACCATTATTTTTAGAGTACCAGGTACTCTGTTTTAGATGACCTACACTATGGCCCAGAAATGTTAACTTTTAACAGGACCCATGACCTAACTCACTAATGACTTCTGTCTGCTCAGCCACTTGCACAACCCATGTTTTTTTCTCTTGATTTCAGCCAAGTCTTATCATTTTGTCATTGATTTCTACAGTAGTATTGTTATAAATTAGAGTACCTCTCCCAGGAATACTTTGAAGTCAGTATTGAGAGCAACAGCAGTATTATTGACTATATACCCGAGGCTTTTCCAGTAATACTTAAACCCCTTAGCCAAGAATGCCCTTTTACAGCAGGTCTGGCCAGAGGAGATGGTGATGGACCTGTCCTCTCTTTTGACTATCAAAGCAAAGACCTATGGGAAAACAGACATAAGGAAAGCCAATTACTCTTATATCTGTCCACTCCCACTTGGGTCACCAACTCCAGCCCTCTACAGGCACACTCAGTAACTTCAGAGTGTCAAAGGGAGTTTCCATGAAAGTAGTCCAACCATCTATACTTGCCTGTCGCTGACTATGTCTTCCAGGCAAATATAATCGTAACAGAATTCATAAGACGTCCTCTTTGACTCAGAAAAGAAAACATGTACAATTTAAGTTTAAAGCAATTAAATTCTACAACGCTGCAAAAGATTCCGTTATTTTATAACACCAATGGACTCTTAACCTTCTAAAAACATTTTTTTAGAATGGACTAGCTAACATTCAAAAATTGCCCTAAAGAGCTAAGCTTACATTCTATTTAAACATTTCTAGGAGCAAGTGGTTACTATAATAGACAAAAACAAAACAAAACAAAACAAAATCAGACAGTATTATCTGGACCTAAACCTAAATGTGCAAATGGGTCCACAGGCACACTCTTAACCATTTTTCCAAAGAAATATGTTTAAACGGCTTTACCATGCAGAGCTATGGCTTCCCGGAAGGGTTGCAAATCAGTCTCTACAGATGAGCTAGTTTCCGTTGAAGTAGCTCGGTTAGGGGACACTACAGTCAGTCTTGGGGGAGCTCTAGAGTTTCGTGGTGGAGGAACTTTCCCACACAGGAAGCTGATCAAATCTTCTCTACGAATAGTTCTTCTGCGCTTTTTAACCCAAGCCAACACATCCTTATTGCGCCGCTGGTAGCCAATCTGAATTCCAATATCAAAACTTCGTTGATGGGTATCCACGCTTTCTGTTAGAAAAAGAAAGAAAAACATACATGATCAGCAGAGCCATGTTGCATTAGCTTCTAGAAAAAGCGATTTACAGTTAGCCAAAATGAGCATCATGAAGTTCTCTATGTCCATCTACCGGTAATCTACTAAAATGAATTGTAGTTGATGCACGATTGGGATGTGCTACATGACATTTATTCTTAATGAACTGAAAGTTAACACATCACAGAGTCCTACAGTTTCTGCCTTGTTCTTTAAAAAAAAAAAAAATCACCTGATTTGTTTACATTTTTTGGGCACAGAAGAACTGGGGTGTAGGCCTGAGATGGGGGGTTCAGGGGGTGAGAGAATTCACCAGAGACAGAGTGGGGAGCAGAACAGGCAAATTCAATGAAATACAGTGCTAAGGGAGCAGTAGACAGAGGTCTGCTATGCCGTATATGGGTTGGTGGGGGGAGGGACTGAACTCAGGCCACATCAGTGACATGCTGAGACTTAACCCCTAGGCCACCAGGGAGGCCCCTTTGAAAAATAATTAAACACATAGCAGGACTACTTGTTAGCCAAAATACCATTTTTAAATGTTATTCCCTCAAAATTCTTGCTTAATTCTGAATTAGCTTGTTTAGTAACACCAACAATGGATAAATTATTACATGCTTATTAGTACTATACTAAGCCTCACCTGCGGAAAAAGGTAACATGACTTCCTCCAGAGAAGTACTATTGTACCCTTACTACAAATGGAGAAAACAGGTTTTGAGCTCGGAGTAAATCTACCACCGTCACAGGATATACACAGAACTGGAATTTTGCTCCAGTCTCTAGTTCTTTACCATTAAGCTATACTGCTCTTGCGATACACAAGTTACTCAGAGCGAATTCCTATGAACTGTAAGCAGGAGCATCACACCATCCAACAGATGACTGAATTAGGCATGTAACTCAGGCCATGCTCAGCTACATTTTACCAGGTCATTTTGGAGATGCATTCCTACTGACAAGTTCACACCAAGAATCTGGAACATGCTGAAGGCAGTAGCAAACACTTTAGAAACAAGGGAAAATTAATTAATTACTGAGAACACTAAAACCAAACAGCACAGTAGAAGCCAGAAGAGTTTCATTCATTTCCCTGGGTATATGTTCATTCTGCTTTTATTTCCCAATAGCTTTCATAACCCGTTAACCATTCCCCAAAGACCCTGGCTTAACAATCTCTCAGAACCTGCAAATACTACCTGCTATATTTACTGAAATGATTCCTGTTCTTTCATAGTTATATCTAGTTGAAGAAAGTATTTTGGTGTCTTAAATCACAGCAATTTATTTTTAGGTGAGCTGCCATGCTAGTGGAAAAATCACCAGTAAGTCTCTAATGACATAAAAGATGGTTTCTTTGTCCCTGGACCTTCTGCTAAGCAGTAACTCTTGTGTATCACAAAGAATCACTCCTCTATTACTTTTCTTGGTCCCAATTTTAATTGTCTGCTACAACTAAAGTACACTGTAAAAGAACAATAATCAAACAATGAAGTGTTGTGTCCCAGAAAGAAAAACAATAATCAAGACATCACAGAAGCTCCAGAGTTGAATGACTCTGCATTATTTAAAAAAAAAGACGGCAAGAGGGTAGCACATGCAGAACTTTCTAAGGGGCCCACTCCTTAGCAGGTGATCAATCTTTATTGCTAAAAAAGAAAAAAAAATTAAAGAAATCCATGGGCACATCCTTAAAAATGCTTTAAAATAAAAGACCAGGACTAGTCAATATTTCTGTGAAAACCCATGATACACCATACACTGTTAGGTGCATCCATCACAACTTTGAGGAAACAGATTAATCTAATTTTAAAAAACAGCTCAGGAATGAATTTCTCCAGTGTCCTACTACTAGAATGAAAATGAATCTGTGTCTTCAGATTTCTCATTTCATCATAAAGCCAAGCAGGAACTCTATCTTAAAGGTAAACAGCATATAAGAAAATCTATAACCTCCCCATCCCCATCCCTTAGTCTTGCTAAGAGATGGCACCTGGACAAATGGTGAAGCTAAATAAGACACAAAGCTTGAGAGCCAAAGGAAGGGGCCACATGAGTAGTTTAAAAAAAACAAACACAGGGGCCTCCCTCATGGCGCAAGGGGTTAAGACGCAGCACTATGAAGCTATTCGCAGTCACTTCAGCATGAGGCCAAGGGGAGGTGACCCACATGGCACAGCAGACCTCTCCTGACTTGCCCGCTGCTCCCCTCAGCAGTGTATTTCAGTCAGTCTGCCTGTTCTGTTCCCCACTCTGTCTCTGGAGAATCCTCTCACCCCCCACCCACCTCTGGCCTATACCCCAGTTCTTGTATGCATAATTAAATAAATCTTTAAAAAACTAAAAAATACAAACACAAAACTTAACAATCCTGTGAAAAAAAGAGCTTGATAAAATTTTGGTTTGCTTTGATTGAGGACACAAAGTCCCAAAAGTCAGATCTGCAAGGGGCTAATACTGCAGTGTCTCAGATTTGAAGAAGCTGAAAACTCAAGAGTCACTGGTTTAAATGGAAGATAATTAAGTGATAAAGTGTGAATCGTTTAAAATTTATGCCCACTAGCCAATCACTCCACCTCAAAAATTCTAAGTCTCAACATCAGAAGCAACCTATAGCACACTAAAAATAAAGCATTGTGAAACACCAACTTTTTTTTCTATTTTTTTTTAAGATTTATTTATATATGCATACAAGAACTAGGGTACAGGCCAGAGGTGTGGGGGGTGTGAGGATTCACCAGAGACAGAGTGGGGAACAAACCAGACAGACGGACCGAAGTACACTGCTGAGGGGAGCAGTGGGTGAGCCAGGAGAGGTCTGCTGCGCCATGTGGGTTGCTCCCTGGCCAGCTGGGGATCGAACTTGTGCTGCAGCGGCTGCGGATAGCTTCATAAGTTGTGTCTCAACCCCTTGCGCCACCAGGGAAGCCCTGAAACACCAACTTTTACAGACTAGAAGAGTAGTAAATCTGATCCAATAATTCAGGTACATGCTTCTGCCCTACCTGGGCATAATCTGGTTTTATAACCGTTAATAACATATTCTGAAAACCTAATCCAGATACTTTACTATCCTCTTAATCCAATCTCAGTTATTTCCTAAACAGAAAATTTCATGTTGATGCATTTAAAATACAGTCCTTATAGTTAGCTCTTCAAATAGCTACTCGATTGAAAATAAAACCCCAATACCATACCTTAAACTAAGCAGGATACCTGAATGTTTACTGGAAAGTATTAGGCATCCCTACACTACATTTTAATGCAACCCCAGATTAGTCTCCTGTAAGATAATCAATTATACACACAAGGATGGCCTCCTGAAGGCTCTAAACCAAAGACTGCTCTGAAAATACCTGAACCCTGACCACTAGACGTACAGAGCACAGAAACTGTAGGACCAGTCTTATGTCCAATGCTATTCTACAGAAGCCAAAGGCACCATGAAAAAGGGTCCTCAGTTTGAAGGTGAAGCCAACCCCAAGGACATCAAAATGGCAATCTAACATTGCATCACAAATACATTCATTTTCTTATTCAAGAAACAAATGGATTCACACAAAGTTCATGCAAAGTCACAGTAGACAGCCCGTATTTCATCTTTTTAAAAATGTTTTTTTATATAAACAGCTTAAGTTGTAGAGATTGAAAATGATATTCGAGGTTTCAGTTATCTGTCTAATCCTCCCACCACTGGCAGGGGCAGCTGGCAGAGAACCACACTGATTTCTGAGATGAAAATCAAACAGAACCTTCATACATAAGACAGATTACATTAATCAGACTTTGCTCTTTATACTTTTTTGATGCTCATGAACCTTTCATACCTTAGCTAGATAGAACAGAGCCAAATTTTATAAACAAGGAACTGGAACTAAGTCTCAGAGGGCCTTGCCCAAAGTTGGCTAAGTGGCAGAGTTCCTTCCACAATGCAATTATTCCTCAACAAAGAGAAGCCAACTCTCACTCTTCTTAGAGAGCTACAAACCTTAAGGGCACTGATAGATCAAACCAACACTTCCAAGAAAAAGCAATTACTATAAAATATTTGAACTTCAGAATTAAATCTGCACTACCCAATCAGTGGGGGGGAGGATTATAAATGCTTCATAGAAACAAAGATCTGAGTCACTGCCAAAAGAAAACTATTTTCCAATTGTTGTGAGGAAATAACTCTCATGTATTCACTAATGAAGCAATATCCAACATCACCATTAACTCCTAGCTATTTACTATTTACCCAATCTTCATCTAACACAAAACAAAAGCCAGGAACCAGAGAAGAATCAGAGAGCACAGCTGCCTGTCCTTGTCCTAGCCAATGCTTGTCCTCCCTTTCCTAAAAGAACTCAGAAGTTTTGTTTGGACAGATCTGGGGGAAAGCGGCCTCCACATCTGCCCCAGGGGACGATGAGGTGGTTTAATCCTAAATGAATCTGCATAACCCCAAACCCGGCTGTGATACTGACTGAGTAAGCATGTGACCCAATTCTGGCTGAGATCCTGGAGAAGTCATTTGCTGGTAGCTCCTAAGAAAGAAGTTTTTGGGTTCTTAAGACGCTTCAGTGAGTAACCCTAAAATACAAGCTGCCAACAGAAAGAAACCCGCCGAGAAGGAAAGCATATACACGCGTTGAGTACAGAGGGGAGAGTGACAGGGCAGCTGGGCCACTGTCAAGTCAATACCATCCCCTCTGCCTTCAAGCTACAGGAGTCAATCCACGTCCTTACCACTGAAGCCAGACTTGTGCCATAAGATATGTACAGTCGCAGCATCACTTTACAGAGACATGATCGGTAAGAATTACCTTCCTTGAGGGCCTCCCCGGTGGCGCAGCGGTTGAGCGCTGGGTTGCGAAGCTGCCCGCAGCCTCTGCGACGCCGGTTCGATCCCCGGCTGCTCCCCGGCCAACAGAGGAGGGTCCCACATGGCGCGCAGACCTCTCCTGCCGCCCGCTGCTCCCCTCAGCAGTGTACTTCGGTCCTTCTGCCTGCTCTGCTCCCTGCTCTGGCTCTGGTGAATTCTCTCACCCTCCCGCGCTTCTGACTATACCCAGTGCATGTATGAACAAAACAAACAAACAAACAAACAAATAAATAAATAAACATGCCTCTATAAAAAAAAAAAAAAAAAAAAAAAAAAAAAGAATTACCTTCCTTGAGAATTTAAATAGAATCTGCAAGTGGTATTAGGGATGAGAGATTCCTGCTCCTATTTATAGCAAGTTTAGGAATAAAATTTAAGATGCAGAGTTTCTAACCATAATCCATCATAAACAAAGTCTCAAAACTCAGTAATAGTGTTCAGCAGCAAGGAAACCAACTGCAGAAATTCAAATTCTAAGGAACTGAAATTCCAATACCTATCTCCAGACTATGCTTTCTCTGACCATGTTTTTCATCAATCACTCTCCATTTGACCCACAAATATTTAGTATGTTCATTTTCAGTTCAGAGGTCCATGACCACACTGAAGGCAACATATTATACAGGGAGGCATCAAGATGTTTCAAAAAGAGACTTAGAAGATACAATAGTATTTTCTTACCAGTCAATTCTATTTATATTTACCCTTTACACTAACAAAGCTTGCTCCAACAAAAGAAAAAGGTAAGACAAAAATAATCTCAAACTTCATCATAATCAACACTGCCCATGAACAAAAACATCCAAAAAACAAGCTGATCACCAGTGCACAGTCACTACACGTCCAGCTAGACCAAGAGCCTGCACCCTAAATGGTAGGCACCAAGTCCCTTTCTTTTTGATAAAACAAAGCAGTGACAGAATATTGTTCAGTCCTGAGACAGGTATAGGAGCACAACTAAGTAGTAAGAGTCTAAAATGTGAACTAAACAATCTAGCAGTAAACAACCCTGACCTCTGCAAGTACAATTAGTGTACAGAATCACCTTGGAGCAAACACTGCTCAAGGAGAGAACCAAAAACATCTTAGTAAAGAGCAAGAAAAAAGTTCTCAACATGGTAGAACTCAAGACACAACGAAAGTTTCAGATGCAGTTTCAAAATGTGGAGGGCAAAGAAATGGAGCTTAGCATAAAACAGGCAGCAAAGGAGAAAAACCCTATAAAGCAGCTAAGAAAGAATTGCAGAAGTGATGAGAAATGACTCTACCAGGTGTTACCAAGTACTGGCTTATGAAGAACAAGGTGAGTTTTGAGCACACCCCCCGCCTCAAGCTCACCAAGGGGTCCCCAGAACTAGAGAACAACCACAGTAGCTCCAAGTAGAAGAAATGTACAGTTAGGTAAGAAAATTTTCTTAATGTTTCCTAATGAGGAGCCAAGGGTCAGTTTTAAACAGGTCGGGGGGAGGAGGTGCTTTAAGCAGCAAACAGATAAGGGCTTGGCTAAGTATTCCCCAGGTAAACATCAACCTGAGCTAGAGTAGTACAACCTAAATTAACTTTTCACTCCCTTCTTTAGCTGCAGGTATCAAAAATGTACTGAGCAAGGAACACAACCAACACTACCCTCTTTGGATTTACCAAATCAAGGTAAAAACAATCAGCAAGCAAAATTTTTCTTTCCCTTTCCAAAAGTGGATGCCAGTCTGGTCCCACCACATGGGCCAGAAGAACACTGCACTCAATTTCATCAGATTCTCCCGAGAACCATCCCAACGCTCCTCCACACCCTTCCAGACACATTCCAACCACACCAACTAAGTTCATGTTTTCCAATGCCGACTATCCATCAAAAATGGGCCTCTGCTACATTTTTACCACATTTCCCACTCACTGTGTGCTCAATTTTTCAGTTATGAAGGAGCTGCCCCGTGTCCCCAGGCTGCAGAATCAATCACTTACTTTGCCAGATAAGTGCTTAATCATGTAAAATATAAGAGCACCACCCATTTAAAAGGATTCCCACCCAGAACTTCCCCCCTGTACTGTATTCAAATACTTAGTCAGTACTGTGAACACTTACTCTGATATAAATGTACCACTACTTAATGCTGCTTGCACTTGGTGACACTACCTAGCTAATTTTACTGGTTCTATTTAAGGTACCCGATTATTCCTCCATCTGCATTTGTGTTCTCTGAAGACCACACCCTGAAGAGGAAGAAAGCCAGGATCAGCAGAGCTTTAAAAGCTGCCCTTTCCTTGAATAAGGTAACAGTGTGTCTACTAAATGCCACAAACCACAATTTAGAATTCCCAACAGGAAAAAAGGAATGTATTTTCATTTTACAGAAACAGGATACAAAATAAAACTTAACCAGTCCGACAATTCAGCATTTCCAATAATGCAAGAACCTCATGATGCTCACTTAAAAAGTAATGTCATTAAGTTTCTCTCATTAAGAAAACTAGTAAAAAAAAATTCAGAAGCCATTTTAAATAGTCAAGTTAGGGACTGTTTCAGATTTTAGTTTCTGCATTTATCTTCTTACAGGAAGAGCTAGCACTAAAGAAAACCACCAATTTTAGTCCCAAAAGGGTTCATTTTAGGAGTCTACAACAGCACCAAAAAAATAAAAAGTCAGGAGACATTCATATTTGTCTATGGCCTGGACAAAGAGCCACAGATATACATACATGTTATTAAAAATATGCCACCTTCCCCTTTAAGCAAAAAGTAACCGCAAGGAGGAATAGTGAAAACTGTGGTACTCCCAACACAACAGGATCTATTCAGCATAAAAAGGGACACTGAGCTATTTATTACTGCAATGCGAATTCAATGGATTGTCTCAGAAACATTATGCTAAGCAGGAGCCACACAGGTAAGATTACCTACTGTAAGGTTGAAGACATTATGAGAAGTGGAAATCAGACACAAAGCTGCATACTTCAAGGTACTATTTACGATGTTACTGGAAGGGAAAAACCATGTATGCATTACAGCAAGCAGTTTAGAGCAGTGGCTGCCAGGCTCTGAGATGGGGACGAGGCAGAGACATACGCTATTTCACAACGTTACTTGTGGTTCAAACTCTATACATCTTAAAAAGGGTGATTTTACTGCATGTAAAGTATAATCCAAAAATCTGAACTTTTTAAAAAATGAAGATAACTTCAAAATGCCCTTTCTGAATGAAACCAAGAACCATTCCAGAGAAAGCTCAAGACTCTCGATTAGTAAAAGATGGTAAAGTAATTTACTCAGCAGACAAAATAGAAAGAACTCAAAAACTACTAAAAAAAAAACCAAAGTTAACCACTGGGGCACCACTTAATTAAGTTTCCCTTTGCTCAGTAAGCCTGGACTATTAGTTCCTCATTCCCTAAAATAAACATTCTATTCATCAGTTTCGGTTTATGGTCTCAAATTACTGTCTAAAAAAATGTACCGTCTACCCAAGAAACCTCACAATGAGGGGTATTTTTCTATAGAAACCTGCCACCTTTGCACATTCTTCAACAAAAGCAGGAATCTGAGAATCAAGCCTCTCCACAGCCTGTTTGTCAACCTATTTCAATAGTTTCCAAATGCACAAAATTCCTTTACTGTTATCAATGTTTAGAAGCTTGAAAGCATTTAATTACATTTTTAAATGAGTTTTTTGCGGTCAAATTCAAATCCTTTTTCCATAAAACCTCACCAAAATCAAACCAAACTTCCAAATCTTCAAAGTCAGTATGATATAAAACCTACTAAACGCACTGTTACTACGAAAGCACAACGGGCAAGGTTTACTTACACACATTCATGTCATCAGGAGAAAAACATCACCTTCAAACACAAATCAACTCAAACCCTCCTGCCAGGCTGCCTGTCAACAATTTACAATCAGATACAGAGTATTTTTGAAGAGAAACAGTTGATAATGTTTCCAGGACAGAGTAGCATGTTAATAGGTGCAGATAATTCCCATTAGTTGTCAGTGCACTTAAAATGTGAAGTCATCAGGCTCGGAATCGCCTAACTGGATCTTTTCCACGAGGCGATTATAAGTGTCTTCCCACCTCTCCGTGCCACAAAGTCATCAGCTCTTTTTTTCCCTAGGAGACTTTTTCCAGGGAGCAGTCCCTCTCACCCATGTTCCAGCTCAGAGCTTCTAAACCTGGCACCACAGGCATGGGGGTGGGGGGGTTATACTGGGAGGGGGGCGCTGTCTGTGCAGGCAGGATACCCAACAAGCAGCCCCCTCTCAGTGATGACATCCAAAAACGCCCCAAACACAGTCAAATGTACCGAGGGGTGAGGGGCTCCAAATCGCCCCGGCTGACAAGTCATCTCGCTAGAACCCCTCCGGAATTCTCCAGTGGCGAGGCACTCGGGGTCAGTGGCCGGATTTCCAGGCAGCCAACAGCCGGGCAGTCTGGGTCCAGGCGCGGGTGGTCCAGACACTCGGGCCGCGGGCCTCCCCCGCCGCAGGCCGCCCGTCCCCGCAAGCGGCAATGCAGCAAGGTTATCTTTACCTTTGTAGAGGTTGGTGACGGCGGTGGCTGCGTTTTGGAAGGGAACCCAGAGAGAGAGTCCTGGCTGCTGACACACTCGGTCTGAAAGGGGAGGGAGGGGGGAGAGAGAAGCCGACACAAAGAGAGCGAGAGAGACACAGAGAGAGAGAGAAAGAGAGAGAGCAACGTTATTTGGGCGTCAATCACTCCAGAACGGCCATATTAGGTTTCGCCATTTTGTTCAAGGGTTTCGGGAGCCCACACTTGAGTGGGCGGGAGGCAGGAAGGGGGTCCCGCAGGGGTGGAAGGGGGCGCCCCCCGGCTCCAGGGCCCGGCCGCGGCGTGGGGAGGCGCCCCCGCTCTGTCCCCGCCCCGGGCCGGCCCCGGGCACAATAGGGCCGCCCCGCCGTCTCCCTTCGCCATTTTGTGACGGGGGCCCCTCCCCGGCCCGCCCCGGCCCGGCCCGGCGGGGGCCCGGGAAGCAGGGGCGCCGGGCCGAGCCGCGGCCGAGCCCCCCTGCGCGGCCCCCGGGGGGCCCCCCGCGCCGGGCCCGCACCGGGCCCCGGGCGCCCTCCCGCGCCGCCATCTTGTGGGGAGGGGGCGGCGGGGCGGCGCCGGGGCCCCGGGGCTGGAAGCCGAGCGCCCGGCCCGGCGGCGGCGCAAGATGGCGGCGGCGCTCACCTTTGTAGAGCTGGGCCACGGCGGTGGCCGAGTTCTGGAAGAGGTGCCACAGCTTCTGCTGCTTGTGCTCGGGCTGCGCGGCGGCCGCCGCCTCCTCCTGCAGCTCGGGGGGCAGCTGCTCGTCCTGCTCGGCCTCGGCCAGGCACTGCCGCTCCCACTTGGAGAACCAGTGCTCCGGCCCGTGCTCCTGGATCTCGGCCTCGCCCTCCTCCTTCCGCTCCTCCATGCCCCGCGGCCTCCCGCGGCCTCGCCGCCGCCGCCGCCGCGTCCTCCTCAGGCGGGGCCCCCGCGGGAGCGTCGTCGTCGAGCGGCCCGGCGGCGGGGCCCAGCGGCCGGCGGCGGCTCCTCGCGGCGGCCCGGGCCTCCGACACCCCGACGGCCGGCGGGCCCCGCCCCGCTCCCCCGCGCCGCCCGGGCCGACCCCCGCCCCGGGCCTGCCCGCCCCGGGCCTCGCCGACGCTCGCCGCCGCCGCCGCCCCTCGCCTCGCCGGCCCGCGCCCGTCTACCGCCCCGCCATGGCGCGGCGGCCGCCCCCGGGCCGCTGCCGCTGGTCGCCGAGCCCCGCGCTCCGCCCGGCCTGCGCCGCCGAGCCCACCCCGAAGACTGAGGAACGTCGTCGTCGCCGCCGCCGTCGACGCCTCTGCGGCTGCTGGTCCCCGCCCTCCCCCGCCCACATGCTGACTGGAAGCACCGCCCCCCGCCCCGCTCCCCGGCCCGGTTGGGGCGCGCCCGTTCCGGGGGCGCCCATTGGTCCGACCTGACCGGTTCCGCGTGCCGGCCTCCGAACGCCGCGAGGTGATTGGCTCCGCGGCCTGTCGGGCTGACGTAACCAATGGGCGGGGGGAAGGGAACGACTGTCAGGCCCGACGGGGACCGAGAAGGGGAGGAGCTGGCTGGGGTAGCGTCCGAGCCGACGGGGGGGGGGGCGCAGAAGGGGGGAGGAAACGTCAAGAGGCGCACATGCGCACTGCGGGCCGGTCCCGAGCCGCGGGGCGGGGCCTGGCGTCACGTGACCCGGACCGAGGCCCGCACCCCGCGGGGGCTTTTCCGGCGTTCCCAGCCCCCTGGGGGTGCGAACTCCAGGCTGTGGGCGCGCGGCGGGGCTGAGGGGGGCAGGGGGGCGGCGGGGCGCGTGTCCAGGGCCGCTCGCCACGGGTCGGCGCGCGCCCCGGCGGGGCCCCGGCGCGGACGCTCCAGGCCGGCAGCGCGGGGCGTCCGCGGCCCCCGGAGGGCAGCGAGGGGAGCGCCGGCCCGTCCGCCCTCGCGCCGCGGCCTCCCCGGGACGCCCCCCGCCCCGGCCCCGCCCGCCCGCCCGGCCCCCCGCCCGGCCCCCGCGGCTCCGGAGCCGGCGGCGCGGTCGCGGGCCTCCCGGCGGGGGCTGCGCGCGCGGGGGGCGTCCCCGGGGCTCGGCCTCCGGGAGGGGCGGCCGCGTCGACGGCGAGGACCGCGCAGCGCGAAGCCGCCGCCGGGCTTCCTCGCTGGCGGCCGCCTCGGGCCCGGGGGCGGCGGGGGCGCGGCTCCGGCTCCTGCCTGCGGGCGGCGGGGTCCCAGCGCCGCCTCTGCCCGGACCGGCCTCCCCGGCCCTGCTCCGTCTGCAGCTCGCGCCGCGCCCAGCCCCGCCGCGCCGCCCAGGCCCCCGGCCTTGCGCTCCCGGGACCCCAGGGTCCCCCAGCCTCGGGCCCTCGCCAGCAGGGCGTCCCGCGCTGGAAAGCCGCCCTCCCCGAGGGGCCTGTGCAGACGCCCCGCACCCCCAGAACCTCTGGCAGGCCGAACCTCGCTCAAGGGGCGCCCCCCTCACGCTGGTCGCCTGGGGGTTTTGGCCACAGCCGTCACCCAGCCGAAATGATCTCCTGTTCATCGCCTCTCGCCAAAACTAAGTTCTGCAGGACAGACAGGATCTTGGCAGTGCGGTTCCCAGTTGACTCTTATAAGGGGGTTTCGGGAGAAAGGGGGCGGGAGCCGAGGCTGGAAGGACACTCTCCGCAAAAGAAGAGCGAACACAAGCAGAGAGGGGACCCGCGGGGACCCCCGCTCTTCAGTCAACCAGAGTGGCGGGAGCCTCTGTCCCTTCAGTCTCAGAAGCACACCGCCTATTATGTGCAAATCCTGCAAAACACAATTTCTTTTTTTTTTTTAAAGTAATTTTTATTTTTTTTAAGATTTGTTTATTTATTTATTTATACAAGCACTGGGTACAGACAGAAGTGCGGGAGGGTGAGAGAATTCACCAGAGCCAGAGCGGGGAGCAGAGCAGGCAGAAGGACCGAAGGACACTGCTGAGGGGAGCAGCGGGCGGCAGGAGAGGTCTGCTCGCCATGCGGGACCCTCCTCCGGTGGCCGGGGAGCAGCTGGGGATCGAACCGGCGCTGCAGAGGCTGCGGGCAGCTTCGCAACCCAGTGCTCAACCGCTGCGCCACGGGGGAGGCCCCAAAACACAATTTCTTAATTCTATAAAATAAAAAATTCCAGTCATGACTGTGATAGAAAAGTATCTGAAAATCTTCAGTTATCTACAAAAAAAAAAAGTTCAATGGGTGCATTTGAACGTGTTTTCTGTAATAGATCTCTCCACGACGTACCTACCAAGGTCTGGAGTCTTAATGGCTCAAGCTGTCTCTGGGAGATGACTCTGGAGACCTGTCCAGTGGCAGATTTTTTTTTTTTTTTAATTCTAAACCGTCCTTTATAAAGCCTAAGATACACATTACACTTCACCAGAAGCAGCAAGTGCCAAATACCTCTAAGACAGAAAAGGTGCTTCCCTGAGGTGGGGATCAGGGTGGGCTTCCTGGGAAAGGAAGGATTTTAGCACAGACAAGACAACTTATTGGAAAGAAGCAGCCCCTGAGTAGGAAGGAACACATGCATTCAAAGGCATTGAGGCGGAAATGGTTAAAGGGCCCAGAATGATCTGCTTTGACTTGGACCGAATTTTCTTTCTTGTGATGAGACAGTGCCATGTAATTTGGCTTTCAAAATAGTTGTACACCACCATGGTTCCCAGCTGAGTGATCCTGGGCAAATTACACAGTCTCTCTGAGCAGTATAAATGGAGATGTGACAGAAACTCACAGGGTTTGCTCTCAAGATCAAATGAGAGTTATATAAGAACTCAGTAGCCAACCAGCACACAAAATCACTCAAGGGTTTAGATTAGCCTCTAACCTTGGAACTGGAAGCCTATATGAGCCACACTACGCTATCTCTCAGCTGAAATCTAGAAACTTCTCATCCATTTCAGCAGAGCTCAATGGTGCAAGAAAATGTGGTTTAATGTCTACGTTCATTTTTAACCTTCTTGCAGGCTTTCAAACACATGTAAGCACTTTTTAACATCAAAGATATACTATGCAGTTTCCATTTTATAAGTTTAGGACCGGTGATGCTCCATCAAGTGCACCCTCAGTCAACTCCTGCCTTTCACTTCGGTTGCAGTGACTTCTGTAAGTCGGGTGTTGCACATACAGGTTTTGGCAGAAGAAAAAAACACAAACTGCTCATTTTCTTGCCTTTAGGAAAGCACAAAAGTCACACCTTTGACAGCCCACATCTTTTCATGTGCTTATCGGTGGTTTATTTGCAGAAACGTCCTATACCTTTTTTTAATTATGTTGTCTTTATTACTGAGTTGTCAGATTTCTTTATATATTCCACATATCAGTTCCTTTTTTGAAAAGATTTATTTATGCATACAAGAACTGGGGTACAGGCCAGAGGTGCAGGGGGGTGAGAGGATTCACCAGAGATAGAACAGGGAACAGAACAGGCAGATTGACTGCTGAGGGGAGCAGCAGGAGAGTCAGGAAAGGTCTGCTGAGTCAGGAGAGGTCTGCTGTGCCATGTGGGTAGCTCCCTGGCCCTCTCGGGATCGAATTTGTGCTGCAGTGGCTGCAGACAGCTTCATAGTTTGCATCTTAACCCCTTGCGCCACCAGGAAGCCTTACATATCAGTTCCTTATCACATTTGTCACTGGCAAATATTTTTCCCATTCTGAGAGTTATCTTTTCATTTTATTGATGGTGTCAATAGAAGCACAGTTTTTCATCTCGTACAGCAATTGACCTATTCGTTATTTATATTCACATGTTTTAAGTGAGCTAAAATTCAAAAACACCTGTAATATAACATTTTGCCTGCATTTAAATTTTTTTTGTCACAAAAATACTCGTAGCATCACCCCCACAAAATAACAACAGGAGAACACCTATGGAAAAGCACTGCTGAAATCTAATATTGTTGCAATCTGCAGAGTGATTAGGATGTATTGAGTGCTAGTTAAGGACCAAGTACAGAGCTAAGTGAAGTAAATCAGTGGTTTTCAATTAAGGGTGATTCTAAACAGCACTCCCCCCCGCCCCCAACATTTGGTGGTCATAACTCAGGGGAGGGGCTTGCTACTGCTTGCAGTGGTAGAGACCAGGATGCTGTTAACACTCTACATTGTATGGGACAACAAAGGGGTATGTGGCCCAAACTTCAGCAGTGCTGAGTTCGAGAAACCCTGATCTATATCCATCAGTTATCCCCAGACAAGGAGACTGCGACATTCAGAAGTTCAACAACTCGTGTAAAACCACACAACTTGTAGGTGGGAGAACCAGGGCTGAAGCTGAGGTCGTCTGTCTCCAGAATCCCCACCCATTTTGGAAACAAGAACAGGAAGGGAGGTGAGTCGGTGAGGTCTCTTGGAGAAGGACAAATGCAAGTCTTGTTGCCAAGAAGCCTCAGGTGCCCATTCCACAGTCTAATCTTTCAACATGGATGGTGAAAAGAACAATGGGGCTTAGCCAATGTGAAGCTGAGCAGGATGTTTCTTCTGGAAACTCTCCAAAAACAAGGCACCATAATAACCTAGAAGTGGCTCCAGAATGTGAAAATTGTCACTCCTCAGAATTACATGGGGATTCTTAGAAATGCAGGTCCCTGTGCCGGAATCAAGTTGTGAAATATAATCTCAGATATGAGGTCTGGAATCTGTATTTTCAAAACTCTTCTGATTTACCACGGACAGTATTCATGTAATTACTGCCTTAGGAGGACTCAGACTGCTTACAGGCATATTGGAATCAAGGATGACATTTTCCCCTTGCACGGACCATCCTCTTGATTATTTTAATCAGAAATGAGAAGCTTCTGGATCTACAGACAACCAAGAATAGCTCTCTCCATTTCTTTCCTCTCTCCATTTATTTCCTCTCCCATTTATTTCCTCTCCGATACTATTTAGCAATATCCAGTGAATTTGTTACCTCTGCCCATGTAACAAATAATCCAAACTTAGGGGTATAAACAACAAAGATTTCAAAACAATTAAGTGTGTTTCTGACATGGGGGTCTTTCATGAGGTAGCCACCGAGGTGGTATCTAGGGCTGCCCTTATCCGAAGGTTTGAGTGGGGCTGGATGCACAACTTCCAAGGTGGTACCTCAGGTCTGGCAAGTTGATGCTGGTGGTTAGTGAGAAGCCCTAAACTCTTCCAAACTGCATGAGTGTCCTCAAGATATCCAGCTGCCTTCCCCAGAGTGAGCTGAGCATGAACACCAGACAGAAGTTAACCTTTTAAAAAAAAAAAAAAGATTTATTTATTTATGCATACAAGAGCTGGGG